CCGCCACTTCTCGAGAGCACGCGTTGAAACGCACGAAAGACTTGAGCACTTGTTTTGTCTCGCAACAGTTCCACCCACGCGAATTTACTGAGCACGTCGATAATTGTCAGTAGATAGCAATATCCGTCGTTATAGCTTCGCAAATTTCGCAATTCTATCAAATCAGCCTTTCAGAGATCGTCGATATTCGTCACGTTGTAATGCAGTCGGGGAAATTTTCGCCGCACGGGACGATGTANCGTGTAAGCATCTTGCGAACGAAGCCAGCGAACAACGTCCTCGCGCGAGTAATTCGGTTTAGCGGCTCGCGACAAATTTTCCGTCGACGAGTAACCGGCGTAATGCGCGGGATTATAATACAACTTGTCAAGCGTTTCGTTTACATTTCGTCCCACGTGAGCAGCCGTCTCGGAATCCCGATTTTTATCTTTTTCTTGTTCTTGTCGGTGGCGCGGTAATCCCATCCTTCCTTTTCTTCTTCTTGTTCAATACTATGCGGAGATTTGCGGTTTGTTATTTTTCCTCCTTTTTGCAAAAAGCGTAAATATTTAAGATTTCCCACGTATTGAGGAGGCGTGTTTATGTCGCGAAGTAAATGAGCGAAATGAATGGCTCCCAGTATTCCAGCGGTTTTTCTTTCTCGCATCGCATCGTTTACGAGTTCCACAATATTCGCTCCCACCAATTCTGGACTCTTGGTCACGATGCCGCGTTCGTCCCACCGCGTTCTGTGATCTTGACGGGAACAGCCGTTTCGATCAGATGATTCAAAAGCATTCGCGCTTTGTGGCGCCTTGTGGTAAGTTTTTGGAATTGTTTCTATTATGTTATAGTTTTTCGTTCGCGAGAGCTCGTTGCGCTGCTGCTGTTGTTAAATGAAATATCTGCAAATGATACATTTTTCTTCGGAGTTGACTGATTAATACGTTGATATTGATTACACAGCCACACAAAAAAAAAAATTTCTTTGGCCTGGGGATCAGACCATGTTTATTATATGTTTTTGGGGTCGCTGAATCCGAATCCGAGGTCCATTAAACCCTATCGGGTCGGGGTTCCGCCATAACCTCAAAAAACACCAT